ATATTATATCTATTCAATCTTCTCTGCTGAATAGAATTCCATCTAGGAGATGATTTTCATTTTAAAATAACTTTTGGATTTCATTATTAAGAGACACACCGCTTTGTAATTCTTTTAATACGACTTCTTGCTTATTTCATTGTCCAGGTTTTTTATCGTATTCCTATGAATACAACATAGAGTTTTTAACCATTCAAAATATTGTGCTGATAAACTCATAAAGTAAACATACCATTACATAAGTTTTTTTTTTCAATGAATTTAGATATTATGGGATTATCTAATAATTTGAGATCTTGGATAAACCAATAAATGAAACTTTACGAACGATTGTTAGTATCAATAAAAAATATCATTGAAATAATTACAATAAGTTCGGTTAGCCATTTAAATAATTAATCTTATTAAGTATTAGTATAATAATATTTTCTACTCACTTTGTTTAATAAAACATAGTCAGACAATGAAAATACATATTTAGATGGAATTATATACATTTTCCCAAAATCAATTAAATTATATTTGATAATTATATTGGATAGTCGGAATTTGGCTTCATGAACCTCTATAAATCCGTCTATAAAATTTTTCAGAATATACTGCCACATATTCACCAGTCTTTGCGGCAATTGGATTGTAATGTTCAACTATAAAATTAAATATTAGTATACACTATGGGCATCAAAACAAGTGCAGTTTCATATTTACAAGAAGTTTGTATACTAAGTAAACAGTTATAAATAACATTACAATTTTTATTTGAGCTATTGTAACAATATATCAGGAGCCTTGTATTAAATGTTTACACATTTTAGCCCAACAGATATAACTTTATTGATATTTATAGAAAAAAAAATTTAAAAAATTGAAAACTGAAAATGTCCGTAAACAGCTTAAAAAGAGTCAAAATATTTTAAAAATTGTACAGTGTATAGAAAATGCTAATATGAACATTCAGTGAAATTTTCATGTATCTACAATTATTAGTTTTTGAATTACAACAAAATAAGGAAATCGCTACATGAGAAATCGAGTGAATACCTATACAATGTTGTAAAAATTTGAATTTCAAACGCTCATAAAAATTTAATTTGACTTACCGGTAGATATTTTTTTATTGATAAAGGTAGACAAACTTATGAGTAATCTTATATTACATTTTAAAATCTTAGATATAAAAAGAAAAATTTTTAGGAAATCTTAACTCAAAATAATTTGATAATTTAAAATGATTTTTCCATATTTTGTCAATTTTAGAACTTTAAATGCTTATAAAAAAAATTGTGACTAAGGATTTTTAATATTTTTCATCTGCCTTTAAAACAATATACTAGGAGCCTTCTATTAAATTTTCAAGATTTCGTAACTAACAAATACACTTTTATTGATATTTGCAGAATAAAAACTAAAAAAAAATGGAAAATGAAAACGTCCCTAAGCAGTTCAAAACAAATCATAATATTTTAAAAATTTTATCGTGTATAGAAAATGCAAATATAAACAATCAGGGAAAATTGCATGTATTACACCAAAAACCAAAATCGATTTTTTGGAAAACAGATTTTGCGTAAAAATTACAGTTATTCCTTAATTTTTTATGTGTTTAATCCTGGCTCTTGTGAAAACTATTGGGAAATTTAAAATTTGACCTCCCGAATGCACCAACTAGATTCACTTTCCAATCGAACGAGATACTGAAGTTAAAATCGAAGCATTATTTCGACTACTTATCGTGTAGACACACACAAAAAAAATTAAAAATTAAAAAATAAACACACATCTTTGTAAAATCAATACATTCATCGTTCCACTCAGAATCTAAAACAAAATTTAAATATATATAAATAGAATCGCTCTAACAATACAAAACAATGCACTTAATTTAATTTATCTTAAATAAATATTAAACCAAAAAATATGTTTTATTATTATTTAATTTTCCATCTTAATCTCGATTTTTCGGTCCTACGGAACCGCTCAAAAAATTAAGATGAATTAGTGATGTTTTTACAGACACTGCAAACAAAAATATTTTTTCAAGTAAAATAATAAAATAAAACTTAAAACCCGGATTTTAGTGTTAAATTCCCTAAAACTCGAGAATGATTGAAATTATCATAACCCGAAGAATGCATGATAGTTTTATATCCTTAATTTATATTAGAATGGTTAATTATGTGAAAAATAACAATAAAATATATTTTCGAAAAAAAAATTAAAATTTAATACCTACCTATAATGTTAAATGAAATCAAAAATTAAATACATTTTCAAAACTATAATAACGTTAAACGAAAAAAATCATATAGCATGTCTCAAAAATATTATTTTTTATCGTTATTTTGTAATGGGTGATTTTACTCAAAGATTACTAAAACAGAAAAAAAATGATTCTTCGTTAAAGTGTTTTGTCTATGTTGCGCGTGAGCCAGAGTGAGAAAACAAAGAGTACACTGACATCAGTGGCGTCCCTAGACCCTTTTATAGGGGGGGGGGGCGAACTTCATACATCACCTATATATATATATGAAAATACACCAATTACTGGGTGTTTTACCTGATTTAACTCGGGGTATGTAATGTCATTAGGGCAATAGGGCATTCGACATAGGCATAGTTATAGATACAAAAAACAAAGTATAATTAACAGAGTCACAGTTTTAAAATATTTGTGTACATATTAAATTATTTAAATTTAAATTAATGAATTAATGAATGAAAAATGATTGTCCAAATCATGTCATTGTGCAATTTTTTAAAACAAAACTTCTTTTGGAAGATGTATTTGAAAAAAGATAGAACTTTTTTTATGATGCCCATAGTGTTTCTAACTAACTGTACATTAGATGACTTTGAGATGCTCAAGTTCAATGCATGGTTTGAACATGGACTGTAAACAGCATTGGGACAGTTTTTCTGAATTTCAGCAACTGCTCCACGTGTTACAGATGTCATGACTGAGCACCCATCGGTTCCAATCCCTACACAGTTATTTAAGTCTAACGACATGTCTTTCATAATTGATACAACAGCATTTCCCAGAACAATACCAGTTAATTTTGGTTCTACATTATCTTCTGTAAGTTTATCATAAACATAATCATGACAATTTATAAAACCAATAAACTGTTCATGAACATTATTAGCTTTATCAACATATCTCAAAGACAAACTTAATTGTGAAATATGGGAAATATCAGTGGTTTCGTCAAATATAACACTGTAGTAGCAAGATTCCTTAACATTATTTAAAATTTGTGACAATATTTCTTCTTTACAACAATCAATTAACTGTTCCTGTGTAGTGTGAGAAATATAAGTAGCTTTAGCACTAGTTGTTTGTAAATGTTTTTCTAATATTTTATCCCCAGAAGCTATTTTGAATTTTAGTAATTGCCTAAAATTACCTTCATTGGTTGGCAATAAATCAATATTTGTATTTAATTTACCTTGATCACGGTGTCCTCTAAATGCTAAATTTTGGCGTCCCAAAAATATAATACACTCTATAATTGGTTTGAGTCTCTCACGATCCTCAGTTATTTGTTGCATTCGTTGTGTACTCATTTAGTTAATTATTTCTTTTTGAGGATTTTTGTAACGGTCTAAGAAATCAATAGCTACTTGCATTGCATTTTTGTGGTATAAATGCCTACTATGTGATTGAATTATGAACATTTTAAGAAAGAAAAAATAGCACATGGAGGGGGCGACTGCCCCATTCGCCCCCCCCTTGAGGACGCCCCTGACTGACATCCTTTTAAGAATATAATCCACATAAGATATTAAGATAGTTACAAAAATATTACATTGTAAACTAATCAATCAGTGATTTAAACATGATGTACAAAATGCCTAAATTAAATCTTAATAAAAATAAATTTCTTAAAATGTCAACTTAGGTACCTCAATAAAATCAATATTTCTAATCAATATAAAAATGGTGTAAAAATCAACGGTTGTCTTTAAATAGATACACAAAAGTACAAGAGAGCAGAACAAATCACAATACAAAACACGAATTTTATATTATGTTGATCGACTTTCATAAAAATTATCATTGTAGGTATTCATTAAAATTTGATAGGCATCTGATTAGGCAGGTATTAAAATTATTATTAAACACTATAATAATATAAAATTACCATTTTATTTATACATTTTTAGAAGTCTCTTTGGTAATGATAAGTAATAGATCTATAATTAAACATGAATCGATGTCTTAAAAATAGTTGCGACTTATGCTTAGGTGATTATTTATGTGGTAATAATAGAATAATGTGTCGTTTGGCCATGCATTTTAGGTAAACGGATTGAATTATACAACAAAAAATATTAAATAATAATATGCAAAAAAACCATTTAAAAAAAAAATTGATTTAGAACCTTTTCATTCTGATATAGTGATATTAGGTAGTTGTAGTCGTCGTCTGCGCCTGCGGGCAGTGTACGAAACACACAACAGTATCTTTTCGAAAGAGCAGGGGAAAAAAAGAACAATTAAGGTAAAAGGGAATTTTTAAGCAAAATGGATTTTCGACAAAGTCGATTTTGGTTTTTGATATAGGTAACTCTAAAAAAAATTACTTTAGATAAGTACATGCTATTTTCACTGGTTGTTTATATTATCATTGTCTATACACGATACAATTTTCAAAAAATATTCATTTGTTTTGAACTGTTTACGGACATTTTCAGTTTCCAATTGTTTTAGTTTTTTTTTCTATGAATGTCAATAAAATTATATATGTTGGGTAAAACACTTTTTTTTTTTTTTAATATTCAAAAGTAATTAACAATCTGTATCCATACTAGACACAATAAGAAAATATGATAAAGGTTAACATAACATGAGGTTTTATTGAAAGAAGCCACCCATTGATAGCACTATCTACTAACTTGATAATTATTTATTTTTTTTTTTTTATTTATTTATTTATTTTTTTTTTTTTAATTTTAATTTTTTTTAATTTAATTTAATATATAATATATAATTTAATTTAATTTAAGAGATCTCTACACCACTTACGCTTCAGACGTCTCGGAGGATTTCCAGGTATTGTGGGAGTGGCCAAGTTTTTTATTAATTGATTAGGGTGATTATTTAGACGGTAATAGAATCTTTTGTAAAAGATTTTAGCTTCATCATTTATTTTATTAAGTTTCAAGTCGGTGTGTAGTGTATGATTTGACACGTAAGGTGGAGCATTTGTTAGTTTTCTAAGCACGATATTTTGAAAGGTTTGGATTTTCAAAATATTTGTCTTTTTCGCATTGCCCCAAAGCTGAAGGCCGTAGGTCCATAGTGGTTTCAATAGTGTTTTGTATATAAGAAGTTTAGTTTTAAGAGAGGTGTGATTATTATTGGATAATAAGGGTTTAAGTAATCGGAGACGATGATTCAATGCTAATCTTTTGGTTCTGATATGATGAGCCCACGTTAATCTTTGATCTAACGTAAGGCCGAGGTATTTGATTTTTGGAGAGTAGGGAATTGGAATTCCATATAGGACAACACCAGGACAAGGAGTATGTCTTAGGGTAAAGGTTGTGTGAACGGATTTATTCTGGTTAACTTTAAACCGCCATTTTGTAAACCATTTTTCCATAGCATTAAGGTGAGTTTGAAGATTTATCGACGCTAAGATTGGATTGTTGTTAATGGATATTAGTGCTTTGTCATCAGCAAAGTCAGCTACAGATGTGTTGGGGGTAATAGGTTGATCAGATGCAAATATGTTATAGAGAATTGGAGATAGGATTCCACCTTGAGGCACACCAGCATTTATAGAAGCTAAATCAGATAGAGCGGAACCGTGGCGAACTTGAAAAAATCGATCCGTTAGATAGGATTTGATAAGTAGATAGTAAGTGGGTGGAAGGAATTTCTTAAGTTTATATAAAAGGCCATCGTGCCACACCCTATCGAAGGCTTGTGCGATGTCTAGGAACACACAATTGCAATAAAGTTTTTTTTCCAGGGAATACGAAATAGCATCTACGACTCTGTGCACTTGGTGTGTGGTTGAGTGAGACGCCCGAAAGCCGAATTGAGTATTTGGAAGGATATTCTTTTGAGTAATGATAGGTATAATACGTTTCAGAATTAATCGTTCAAGTATTTTAGCGAAAAATGGAAGAAGGCTAATTGGTCGATGTGACGATGGAATGTCCGGCGGTTTATTTGGTTTAGGGAACAAGATTATAGTGGAGAATTTCCAAAGTAGAGGAAAATAAGAAAGTCTAAGTGAAGCATTAAATATGTGAGTGATGTGAACGATAGCTCTAGTTGGAAGGGATCTGGCTACTTCCGCAGTAATGCGATCATAGCCCGGTGATTTGTTTAGTGAGTATTTTAGTATGGCATATTTAACATCGTTTGGTGTAAATGACTTGACAGGGAGAGTTAGAGGAAGGGAAGCATTCAGAAACGTTTCTACCGTATTCATATTTTCATTGTCAATTATCTCAGAGTGTGGTTGAAAAGTTTGAGAAAGATGCTCCTTAAAGAGTTCTGCTTTTTCGAAGTCAGAAATGGCAAGGCTGCCATCTGATTTCTTAATAGGGAGATTTGGTGATTTATAACGAAGAATTTGTTTGGTTTCCCTCCAGAGACTACCATCTTTGGGAGTAAGCTTCATTAAGTGATTTTGCCAAACATTTGCCTTAATTTTTGCTAGCATTTTTTTCAAGGAATTGGCCAGGTTATTATAATTTAGTTTATGGGAAGGGAGCCGAGTGCGCTGGAAGAGAGCTCTAGCTCTCCGTTTTTCAACTATTTTGTTACGTATTGTCACAGGTAATGGATCTGATGTGGGCGGTGCTAGAAAAGTACTTGTAGCTGACCAGGCTGCAGTTTGTATAACATTGGTAAGGTTGTGGATCGCTAAATCTATATCGTCGGGAGTTTTTAGTTTAATGTTTAAATGTATTTCTTTATCGACTAGTTCAGTAAATTTGGAATGGTCTGTGAATTTATTAAATAGTTTATTAGATTCTTTATAAGTAGGGGAAGTATTGAGAGTTAAGAGCACTGATGAGTGATCGGAATTTAAATCAAGTAAATTTTTAGTAGTGCTAAATAAGTTATTTGGAATTTTGGTCACAAAAATATCTAGAATGTCAGGGTTTTTCCGGGAAGACGAAGGCCAATACGTTGGATCAGGAGGAGCTAGAACTTTAAATTTTTTTAGATTGGTAAAATTGTACAAGGTGACACCTCGCGGGTTATTCACTCGGCACCCCCACGACTGGTGTTTGGCATTAAAATCGCCGCCTATTATAAAGTAGTTATTGAATGTGCTAAAGTAGTCAGAGAATTTTATGTCCGTAACAATATGTTTAGGGGGTGAGTATATAGCAGCAATAGTGATTGGAGTATTATTTATTTTTAAATTGATAGCACAAGATTGGAGGAAATCTTGGGAAAAACTAGGCAAGGGATAAAATTCTATAGTGGATTTAACAAAAATAGCAGCACCACCGTGCGCTGTGTTATCTGGGTGATTTGTTTTAATTAAAGTATAACCAGGAATATGGATATACGAGTATTTTGTGAAGTGAGTCTCGGAAATGAGGGCAATATCAATGCGTTTGTTGATAAGAACAGATTCGAGTTCATGGACATGGTTTTTGAGACCATTAGCGTTAAATTGCAATATTAGGAGCGAGTTGTCAGTGACGGAATTATTATAATTATTGGCCATTATTTGTCGAGGAGCTTGGAAATTACTTTAGTTAATAGAGCTATAAGTGGATTAATTAATGTTTTAAATTCATCTAGAAAACTGGACATTAATTTGTTTAAATCAGGAGGATGAGTTGCATTGATAGGAGGTGAAGTGTCGTTAGCAGGAATGTTGGACGTAGCCTGAGCGTAAGTTTGCGTTTGTGGATTAGAGTGAGCGTGACTAGGTGGGTGGCTACCTTGTACAATAGTGGACTTAGTTTTATAATTATTATCTATTCGATTACTTGGTGCGCTGGGTATCTTTCGACGTTGAAGTTCTTTGTAGATTGAGCAGCCTTTGTAGTTGGCTGGGTGGTTTTGGGAACAGTGGACACATTTCGGAGGGACATCTCGTGAATTCGGGCATGCAGATGACTGGTGGTCCGCTCCACAACGAACACAACGAGGATGGTATCCACAGTATCCTCTGGTGTGTCCGTATTGTTGGCAGTTGAAACATTGGCTGATTTGTTTTGGTTTATATGGTTCTTCAACTTTAATTTTACAGTGAAGTAGTGATGAAAGTTGGAAAATTTCATTAGACTGCTGTGTTGGCTCAAGATCGATGAAGAATAGTGGAAGGGGGTTCTTATTGACTTTGTGTAAAACATTAGTAACTTGCCTTACCTCAAAACACCGAACTTCTAACTCCTCTTTTATTAGTGTTAGAGGCGTGGATGAGTGAAGGTTACGAATAACTACCCGTAGTGGTTTGTCCTCATTCAATTGGTAAGTATGATATTCAGCTTTTTCTGTTTTGAGGAATTGTATTAATGCCCTGGGTAAAACACTTGAAAATTTAATACAATACAAGACTCTTAATAGATTGTTACAATGACATTTGTAAAGTATTAAAAATCCATAAACAAAATTTTATTTTTATAAGCATTTAAAGTTTGAATTTTGACAAAAGGCATAAAAATCATGAAAATGTGCAAATTATTTTGAGTTAAAAATTTCTCAAAAATTTTCTTTTTAAGTCTAAGATTTTAAAACGTAATGCAAGATGCCTCATAAGTATGCTTATCTCTATCAAAAAATAAATGTTTACAAGCAAATCAAATTAAGCTTTTATGAGCTTTTGAAATTCATATTTTTTACAAAATTGGATATTCACTCTACTTCTCATAGTCCAGTCAAATTAGATCAAAAATCAACAAAGATCGGAAAAAATTCGCCCCCAACTGAATTTTGGTACACACTTAAAATGTACCTTCCCAATTGACATACTAAAAGTCCTGACGCCTAACCCCTGTGCGTATCTCTCCACCCCCCAAAAAGAGGTGAAATCTACCCTCCCACTATTTTTCTTATAACTCGTTAACCATTGAACTCACGACAAAAAAGTAAGGACCAAAATTAAAGACCGTAAAATTTACTATAAGAATATAATATTGTAATCACTACAATTTTAACGTAGTAGTTTTAAGTAAACTTTTTTTTAGCCAAAATGTATAGTTTTAAACCAAAATGACCTATCTATAAAAATGATAGCCCTTTGTTTTTACATAATATACTTTTTTTTATTTTTTTTTATATTCATTACCATAAGATTTAAGGTGGTTGTTATGTACGATGCGGCGGTGTTATATCTGTACGGTTGATAATACGAACCAAGTTCGAACATAATGTAAAAATTCACCGAAAGCTGAATATTGGCATACACCTACTATATACTTCATTAATGATCATACTTAAAGTTCTGACGCTTAACCTTCGTGCTTACCCTTCTAACCCCCCCCCCCACCTTCAAAGGGGTGGTTTTTAAATGCTTTTACTTATAAATCACTATCCTTGGAACTGACGACCAAAATATATAGAACTAAAATTAAAGACTATTACATTACTTGACTTTGCATACTTAAATGTTTACAAGATAAGTTCAGTTATAAATACAACTTTTATGAAATGTCTTTACAGTTACAATATGTTTATTTACAATATTATTATTTATTAGATTATTATACTAGTAGGTACTAGGTACTACTTAATTCTAGAATTTTTACAGAAAACATTAAAAAAAATTTACAATACCATATTATTTACACTAAGTACCAACATTTTTATTTTATTTGGTTCCTGGTGAATGTTGTTTTGAATGTAACCAAAAAAAAAGTTGAACGTTATTTAGTATTATAGTTTACAATTATTATATATATAAATTTAAAGTAAATTCATACCTAATTAATTAAGTGGTGCAGTTTTGCACAGCGGTCTTTTTGCATATGTGTGTCTATATATCCATTTCTTCATCTGGTTATTCGTTGTCTTCGTCTATGCTAGTGGTCCATTGTCCATCTTTATACAACTCCACGTCGTCGTCGTCGTCGTCATCATCACAAATTAGTTGCTGGTTTAAACACGATGTGCCTTGACAATTTTTACATATTATGGAACATCGCATTCCCGCTTTTTTACATCCACAATTTTTCTCGCATGATTTAGTGCAAGCACAACTTATAACCGATAGAAGGGAGTCTGTTGCTGGTGGTTTCTTTGTAAAGATCGGTATTATTTTTTTATCTACTTTTTCCCAGCCCCAGTCTAACGGATTAAGTATTTTCCCACGCCAAAGTTGTACTTGTAAATAAACCCTAAACAAATTCTGCTTTGCTGAATCGACTGTTGGAGGGAGTCGAGAAAGTTTGACTTCTTTTTTGCTGGAAGCCCCTGTTTTTCGGAATACATCATACCTGTGACAATTCAATGTATTAGTGTTTGCTGGTGCTTTAAATAATTTTAACAAGTACTTTTCTCCCGCACGCAAAATTTCCTCATGTGTAGCTGATTCATTGTTAAAAACTAATAATGAATCGTGTAGTTCTGGATGTGCTTGAACTGTTTTTAAATGTTTAATTTTCCCTTGTTGAAAGATAGCTGACGTTGTATCACACTCACCAATTGCATGTACAAACAAAAAATAAGGAAATTCAACTTTAAGTTGTAGCCGTAAATGTTTTATAGAGTATGATCTAGTTTCCGTACTTCCTTTGCCTGGTTTTTTAAAAAATAATCTGCGAATCATCTGGAGTTAACGTCAATAAAAGTATGATCAAATCTACGTCCTCTCCAATGACCACAACTTTTGTGTTATAATTTGATTTTTGTATTGCCGTATGTACAATAAGTGTATCAGCATCGTCTTCTGCTTGTAATACGTAAATACCAGACTTCAATAATTTCCCTGTCAACATTGATATCAGCCTCAACTTATTTTTGTCATTTGATAGAAATGATTCTTGCGAAATAGTTATGTCCATCGTCTCTTCGATCAATATCCAAGGATAGTGATTTATAAGTAAAAGCATTGAAAAACCACCCCTTTGAAGGTGGCAATGGTGGGCATTAACTTGTTAAAAAGTTAAAGTTAAGTTAAAAAGTTAATTTTTTTTTAACTTTTTAACTTAACTAGTTAGTTTTTTTTTTTTAACTTATTAACTTATTCAGTTAAATTTTGTATTGTTTAAACTTAACTTTTTAAAGTTAATTATCATTATTGTACAGTTAAGTTAATTAAATTAAATTTTTATCATGTGGAACCAAGAGACAAAACTTATTCTTTCTATTTTGCCATTTTGGTAATTTATTTTTCTAATAATATAATATCATCAATTCATAATAATCAAATTATATTATAATCTATAGGTACTATAGTAAAGACTAAAGAGTAATAATTAGTATAATATCCTTGTATCGACTGGCTATTTTCACGAATTCTATTATGATTTAATATTATTGAATAATCCGATTTTTGTTTTATCTAACTCTCCAATTCCTAAAAACAGGTTTAAAACTAAATATCATAGTCTTTAAATGGATATCATTATATCAATAATATTTACTGGTTACTGGTAAATACGACAATTCCAATAGACAAAACAAAAAGTCGTCCGAGATATTTATAAATTATAATTTATATTGCCGTATTCGTTATAAATACAAATAAACGTATGA